GGGATCATGACCTGAGCTGAAGGCAGAGGCTTTAACCCACTGAGCCACCCAGGCACCCCATTCACATTTATTGTTACATGGCTTTCATAATCCTCAGACCAGCAGTGGTGCTTCTAATCTCTGACTTCCTGTCTCTGACCTCCACGCATTCCTTAGGATTCATGTGAGACAGCCTACTGATTTAGAACATAGGGCACTGAAGCTCTGAGAAGTAAAATCTCCAGAGTTGAAGGACCCATGTGATTAGGTCAGGCCAACATGATAATCTTTGTCTTAGAATCAGCCGTGCTGTATAATATAACCTAATCATGGAATTGAAATTGATCCTATTCAGTATGTAAACCAGGGGCAGGAATCTTGGGAACCTTCTCAGAATTCTGCCTAACACCAAGTACCAGCGGGTGTATTTTATAACAATAAAATTGAAATCAGGTCCTAGAATGTGTAGAATATATAAATATATTCCACAAACAAGAAACTGAACTGGGAGTGTTTCTAGCATCCTTTTGGAGAAAAACTAAATTGACAGTTGCTGTATAGTAATTCCATTATTATAATTGTTTGCTTATTTAGCTATAGTCCTCACTAATTGCTAATATCCTCACTAATTGCTAATATCAGCAGACATGCAGACATGCATTCCTCACTGTGTAGCTATAGTCCTCACTAATTGCTAATATCATCAACACCAGGAATGATGTTTTATTTATCTTTGTACCTATAGTATAAATAATAAATAAACATATATATATATATACATATATATATATTCAAAACAAAATCAGACTTATATTACTGAGTTTCAGTGAATTAAAGTAAATCCTGGCCAGCTTAAATTAAAAGGAGAATGCATTGTAAGAATACAGGGATGTCTCAGGGACTCTTAAGGAGCCATACAGCTAAGGCTGAAGAAAAGGAGCCAGGATGACTGCTGAGTCATCCTCAGAAGGGACGTCTAAACCCCCTCTTTAGCCTTGAGCATTTCCATTGGTATTATCTAGCTATTACACTCGAGATCTTTGTGCCTGCTCTACATTTTGAGTCCCTGGGAAAGAATCTGATTGGCCCAAACTAAGACAGGTGTTTGCCCCCTACATCCACTGAGGTTGAGGCAGATCATCATTGTTACACAATAGACATTGCTACTCTGGTCCCTTCAGGGAATCGCTGTGACCTGTACAGACCCCCAGGAAATGTCCGTTAAGGTGGCAGATACTCATAGCTGCCTGGCTGGAGGCAGTATACTGTCATTAATTCATTGAAATAGCTTGAAAAACTCAGGGCATAGTTTTGATAGTTCTGCTTCCATATCTTTTTCTTACCTTGTTAAGATCACCTTTATTCAACAGTACTCTCTATCAGGTACTCTGTTGCAGGCTAGGGGGATGCGGAGATAAGATCCCATCCCTGAGCTTGGAGAAGGAGAAAGAAGAGCACAGATGATTTCAATAGAGCATAGCAAATACAATGATACAGGCATATATACATGCAGGGTTCTGTACTCTGGAAAACTATTCCCTTACCCATGGTGGCATCCCATTACCTCTCTCAACAGCTGTTAAAGATAATTATAAAATACCAACAAGCAATTACAATTTCTGATTGTGTCCTGTATGGGGCACCTGGGCCTAAGAAACTTACATTAATTATCCTAGAAAGGAAAGGAAAGTTATGAAGCAAACAGATTTTATTCCTTATGAGAATCATAGGAGAGGAGGGTTGGGAGAGTCCCCAGAAGTCTTTCAGGTTAACTGCTTATTTGAAGTATAAATGCCTTCTCTCCTTTGGCTTCCCTCTTGCTACTCACTTCTCTTTAAAATTGTCAGATCTTTCCTTGCTTGATGTGGAGGTATGTGAACACTCCCTAGTAAGTGGATTATAAAGGATTATGAAAAGTAACTTCTTAAAGCAGTTTCCTTCTCTCTATTGAGAGTAATTGTAGGTTTTCTATTTTGTGAGTTAAAAAAAAATTAATGTGGAATTTAAAGGCCATTAAAGTCATACTAATTTAGAGAAAACCATTAAATTATGAAGGGATAACTTGGCTGATGTGAAGTAACTTGGTCCAGGTAATCATGACTTCTCAATAAGAATTTATGTGCAGCCATATTTTTAATGCTAGTAACCTTTGAAAGAAGTATGAAAAGCCATCTGCTTAATTACTGCCAGATATACTCAGCCCCATGAGCTCTGAATCTGGAGCAGACAGGTCCCCTTGGCTTTCAGCTCTTAGCTAAAGCTGAGTTCTGTTGTGTTATTCAATGAAGGAAAATGAATGCAAAAGGGAATTTCCACTTTGAAAATGCTGTTACTTATCCAAAGGTAACTGATTACTTCTTCCTATATGAGCAAACTGCTAAGGAATGGATTGTACTCCCTGAAAAACAGTAGCCATCTCATAATATAATTAGCGCATGCTCAAGGCATCTGTAATAGTGTCAGAAAAAACCAGATACATTCTTCATGCACTGTCACTTTTCGGTTTTAGTTTTATCCCCTTTTTGCTTTGGTTTGGCTCATATGCGAGATAATCCAAGACTCTCAGAAGGTTAGAATAAGGAATGGTACCTAGACTTCATGCCTTTATTTATACTCTGCTTCATTCCACAAAGAATTTACATCAGCCTAGAATTCACACAGTTCAATTGAATTCTTGCAGTCCAGTTCATTTAACAACTATGTTAGGATAGACCATTTGCCAGGCACTGTTTGCCCTAGATAATACGAGAGAGAATAGGAAAGACAAGCCTCCTGTCCTTGGAGTGTTTACCATCTAGGAAGGCAGATTGGAAGCACGTGTTCATACAGATCAGTTAGGTAAATTATGAAAGACACAGAACTGCAACCTTTGTATAGGGTGCTATGCACATACAATGGAGCTCCTGGAAGACTTGTTTCAGGAAACGATGTTTGTGGTCAGCTACGAAGAAGAAATAAGAGCACGAATCAGACAAAGGATTTGAGGAACAGACATGCAGAACAGAAGAGGATAGGGCTAGAAAGTGCCCTGAGGTGGATGGAGTTTAGCTCAGCTGAGAAATGGAAAGAAATCTCAAGTAGCTGGACTGGAGCAAAGTGAGTCAGGAGAGGAGAGAACAAGAGGAAGCCAGAGATGGGGGCTGGGGCAGACCACTCAAGGCCTTATAGCCTCCCCCAAAGTTGTGGACTTGATCCTAAGGATAATAAGAAGCCATAGGAGGATTTTAAGCAGGGGATAGAAAGATAATCAGATTTATGTAGAAATATAATCAGATTTAGAGCCATAATAACTCTGCTGGGTGAAGAATAGATTGGAGAAAGGATAAAGACTATATAAGTAGGGAGACTAAATACAATGCTCTTATATTAACTCTGGTGAGAAATGGTCATAGCTAGGGGCACCAGGATGAATCAGTTGGTTGGATGTCCAACTGTCAGTCTCAGCTCAGGTCTTGATCTCAGGGTCATGAGTTCAAACCCCATGTTGGGCTTCACACTGGGCATGGAGTCTACTAAAAAAAAAGGAAGAGAGAAAAGGAAGAAAGAAATGATAATAGCTTGCCCTAGGATAGGATGGAAATAAGTGGAAAAACTCAAGATACGTTTTGAAGATAGAATCAACAAGACTTCTTGATTGGATATACAGTTGAGGGATTAGAGGTTTCAAGAGTGCCTCTTTGGTTCCTGGTTGAATAACTCTGTGAACACTGTTAACATTTACTCAAATGAGGAGGATTGATTGTGGAACGTTCCGGTGACTGAGTGGTAATAAGAGATCTATTTTATTTGAGATACTTGTAAGAAGACATCCAGTGGAGATATAAAGTAGGAGTTAGAGATCAGATATTAAGCTCAGAAAAAGACCTGGGCTAACTACATGAATTTGGAAGACATCAATACATAGATGGTCTTTTTACTTAAGGGAGTAATTCACCTGCTTAAGGCTATTGAACTCAAACCGGAGGAGAAGGATGGGTGGATTATAATAAAGACAGACGTTTCAGGTAAAGGCAGTGATAGGATTAAAGCAGCAAAGCAGGAATGACATAGACCAATGGATTTTTTCTAGTGGGTAAGAAGTAAAAAATAAAATGGGGATGGATTTTGAGTGCCCTTCCAAATCAGGGAGTGGCTATCCTGAATATGAATATGGTCATATGGGAAGAGATCTGTGAGGAGTCTTAGGTCTTTGCATACCAGGAAGAAGCATTTTTGTGATCTCCCATGGTTTATACTGTGAAACCTAAAGTCAAACGTCCCATAAATCTTAAGATAATTATAATGGTTTTGCGTCATGAATGAAGAGTAAAGGTTAGATCTCCCACAGAACCGCTGCTTATCATTTGCTGGTGGTAATGTCATGGAAATAGGTCCAAATAATTAGAGCTGGTATTCTAGGAATTGTTCTGTGCCTCTGGCCCTGGTGATGAATGTTATCTCCCACCACCTCTGCTTCCATTATGATGAGGAGGCGTTGAATTAACCCACAAAGCATTATCTGTCTGGATCTCAGCTCTCCCCATCCATCACACCTCACAGTGTCCACCCATGGAGGGCCTGTTGTACGCATCCCTTCATTTGGCATCATCCTTCACTTGGCAAAACAAAGTTAGAAGCCAAGTGAGGAGGCCGGGAACCTTTCCAGTTCAAAGAACAAAATGCTCTGGACATTAATGGGCCGAGAGGTTAAACACGGCCATTTGAAAAATTTATACTCCGCAGTGCTGAGAGAGTTGATGTCTTTCCAAAATGATCCCCAGCAGCACCCGACTTACTTAGCAGGATCTAGCTCACCCCTAGCATCATCATTCTCTGTCACTAGAAACCATTTCCCAGTGTTCCTGGGCCAGTATATCCCTTGGTGTGCTTAGTAGCTTTGCAAGCTTAAAACCAGTATATATTTGTGCATATTATTATTCTAAGGTGCTTTGTATACATTTTGAACAGAGGAAATGGTTGTTATTTGAACCAGAAACTTAGCATTTGCTGTGTACTGATTCTGCCTATTTTCACATCCACAGAAATGAAGATGCAGTCAATCAGATGGCTGTTGCTCCCTTTCCAGTACCATCAAGCTCCCCATCTTCTATTGAGGTAAGATGGCTCCCAGTTACCATGTAGTGATTTTGATGGATTTGTCAGGATTATTTTTTTTCAAATCTAGCAGTTTTGATTTTCAGTATCTGGTATTCCAAATTCATAGAATTTGTTAAATAGGGAATTTCTCTAATTAGAAAGTATTTGAGGATTATAAAGTAATATAAAATAGGGGCATCTAGTAATATAAAATAGTGGCTCAGTGGGTTAAGCGTCTCTTTTTTTTTTTTTAAAGTTCAGTTAGCCAACGTATAAGTACATCATTAGTTTTTGATGTAGTGTTCAGTGATCCATTAGTTACATATAACACTCAGTGCTCATCACAACACGTGCCCTCCTTAATACCCATCACCCGGTTACCCCATCCCCCCCACCCCCTCTCTTCTGTAACTCTCAGTTTGTTTCCCAGGGTCCAGAGTCTCTCATGGTTTATCTCCCTCTCTGATTTCTTCCCGTTCAGTTTTCCCTCCCTTGTCCTCTGTGCTATTCCTTATGTTCCACATATGAGTGAAACAATGTGATAATTGTCTTTCTCTGCTTGACTTACTTCACTTAGCATAATCCCTTCTAGTACCATCTGTGTTGATGCAAATGGTGGATATTCATTCTTTCTGATGGCTCAGTAATATTCCATTGTATATATGGACCACATCTTCTTGATCCATTCCTCTGTTGAAGGGCATCCCAGCTCCTTCCACAGTCTGGCTGTGTTGTGGATATTGCTGCGATGAACATTGGGGTGTATGTGCCCCTTCTTTTCACTACATCTGTATTTTGAGATAAATACTCAGTAGTGTAATTGCTGGGTTGTAGGGTAGCTCTATTCTTAAGATCTTTTAGAACCTCCATATTCTTTTCCAGAGTGGCTACACCAGCTTACATTCCCACCAACAGTGTAAGAGGGTTCCCCCTTCTTCACATCCTTGCCAACGTTTGTTTCCTGTCTTGTTAATTTTTACCATTCTAACTGGTGTTAGGTGGTATCTCTTGATTTCAGCTCAAGTCATCTCAGGGTCATGAGATTGAGCCCAGCCTTGGGTTCTATGCTGAGTGTGGAGCCTGCTTAAGATTATCTCTCTTGCTCTCTCCACCCCTTCCTCAAAAAAAAAAAAAAAAAAAAAAAAAGAAAAGAAAAGAAAAAAAAGTAATATAAAATTATATTAAACACATTAAAACTTAACATAAGAATATTTCTTTCCTTGAAGTTCCTTAAAGTTGGGCATTTCAGAGTTTATTAGAAAAACTATCTCTTTTTTTTTAATTTATTTTTTTGAGCTTTTATTTAAATTTCAGTTAGTTAACTTACAGTGTGATATCAGTTTCAGGTGTACAATAGAGTGATTCAGTAAATGCATACATCACCTAGTGCTCATCAGGACACGTGTACTCCTTAATCTCCATCACCTATTTAATCCATCTCCCCATCTCCCTCGCCTCTGGTAACCATCATTACCTCTTTCTCTATAGTTTCAAAACACTTTATTTTTTTTTTTTAGATTATTTATTTATTTATTTATTTGACAGAGATCACAAGTAAGCAGAGAGGCAGGAAGAGAGAGAGAGGGAAGCAGGCTCCCTGCTGAGCAGAAAGCCTGATATGGGGCTCGATCCCAGGACCCTGAGATCATGACCTGAACTGAAGGCAACGGCTTAACCCACTGAGCCACCTAGATGCCCCTCAAAACACTTTAATACCTACTATCTATGATCACAAATATCTTTAAATAATTACTTTATTAATGGAGAAATTACTAGTACAAGATTGCGATCACGTTGATCACCTTCTAGAGTTAGACAGACATATATCAGATAGCTATATAATCAAGTGTCTCCTCAGCTGAGGGAATATTACACTCTCTTCACATTTTTATTTATTGAAGTATTTTTATTTTTTTTTTATTTTTTTTTTTTTTTAAAGATTTTATTTATTTATTGTACAGAGAGAGATCACAAGTAGGCAGAGAGGCAGGCAGAGAGAGAGAGGAGGAAGCAGGCTCCCCACCAAGGAAAGAGCCCGATGTGGGGCTCGATCCCAGGACCCTGGGATCATGACCTGAGCCGAAGGCAGAGGCTTTAACACTCTGAGCCACCTAGGTGCCCCTATTGAAGTATTTTTAATTCCAAAAAGAAATACATCCTTATTGTAAATAATCAAGCCATGCAGAATTATTAGGGGAAAAAGTTAATTTTCCTTTCCCCCCTCCCTGAGGAAGTTATTCTTTAGTATTTTTCCATATTTCTTCCATACTTCCATACTTCCTTACTTCCATACTTCCATACTTCCTTTTCTTCTACAACAAGAATAAACAGCTATACATGAGAATAATACCTCTTCTAGTAAAAACTCAACTGTATACAATACATCCTTTCCATTCAACAAGCATGCAGGGAGTGCATGTTATGCATAAGGAAGTCTTTGGGATGAGAGACACGGGTATGAATAAAAAAGAATGCTCCTTGCTGTGGTTCAGCTTACATTCTAATGAGGAAATTAGTGAATAAATACACCAAGAGAATTATCAGTAGTGGTCAGTGCCTTGCAGGGAATTAAAATAGGGAAGGTAGCTTGTGACCACTTCATCTTGGACAAGGTGAACTGTAAATAAGATGAAAATGGTAAGGAGCCAGACACAGAAATAAAGGGGAAGAGCTTTCTTTGTAGGGAGGACAGAAATAACTCTCAAGGGAGGATGTGCTGGGGCTTTGGACGGATATGGCCAGAGGCATACTTGGAGCTTGGAGGGTGGTAATGGGGCGGGAGCTTTGAGTCAGAGTGAGAAGTTTGGGTTTTAGCCTATTTGTGCCAGGAAACCAGTGAAGGCGAATGAGGTGATTCAGTGTACAGTCTACTAGGTAGAGAATGGACTGCAGGAAGGTACAAGAAATAGGCTAAGAGGTAGAGACCCACATGAGACCTGTTTGCAGGTAGATGAAAATTGTGGTTTGGTGTTGGAGGCAAAGAAAAGTGAGTGGATTCTTGGTGTTCTGGGTGTTGAATCAGACTTGATTGATTAAATATGGGAACTGAGAAGAAATAGAGCATGAATAAATCTAGATTTTTGGCTTGAGCAATTAGATGGATAGCGGTGCCATTTATTACAGTCTGTTGGAGAATAGCTGTTCTTCAGCAGGGAAGCAGAAATTAAGAGGTCTGTATTAGATAGGTTAAATTTGAGATGCATGTTATACATCCTTCTGGAATAGATTCTACTCATTTTTTTAAAAAACTTGGGTTTTTTTGCTTAATGTAGTGGCCATATTTTAATACACTCTGATTATCCTTTTTTTTTTCCAGCTGACAAATATTTAGATGATGTTCTGATGTCTTGCCAGTATAAGAATACCAAAATAAAGATGATGAGTGTGTGTGAGAGAATTGTTACCAAATAATGCTTTTATTTCTATAGCAAAGATTTCCCCCAAAGTACAATTGCTGAGTCATAAGCTATACAAGTTCAGAATTTTCACTTAGATTGACCACTCGCTACCTGAAAAGACTATGGTGATAGGTATTGACTCCCCACCAATAGCCATTTAGCCAAAGCTTGCCAGCACTGGGACATTCATTCTAGTTGAAACCTAGGGTAGGCAGTTACGGTGGTAGAAAGGAGGGGCCCCAGACCCATACTGTTTCTGTTCAAATCCTAGCATAACTATATTCTAGACACTGGGCCTTGGACAATGCGTTACCTCTTCTGTCATGGCTTTACGTATCTGTAGAAGGGTAACAATAGTTTCGCCTCATAGAGTTGATAAGATTAAATAAGACATATGTATCTTCGTGCCTGACACATGGTGTTTACTCAGTAAACACTAGTACTTAATTCTTCATCTTTTTGTGTTTACAGAATGTCCTATAAATCGTTGGAGGGAGTGGGGAGAATAAGAGGAATTGTTTTAGAATAATTTTTTTCTGTTGTATTGTTAGTTATGAATGTACCCATCAAAATATCCCCTTGGAACTGAATTTTAAGGGGATGATTGAATCTTGTGTCTACTCTGTCGAACACTGTCTTAGAGGCCTTCAAATGTGGTCTCCTGTCCCACTTACATCCAGGCCTTTGAGAGACAGTATTATTATTATTCCCACATTGCAGAAGAAGAGACTGGGGTCTTGAGAGGCTAAGTCGTATGCCCACATGCCCAGAGGTGGGTATGTTATTAGGATCAGCTTCTTCATCTGCACCTACGGGTGTCACCACCCAACAATCATAGACTTGTAAAGAGCAAAGGAGGTAATATATATAAAACATTTAGTACAGCTCAAAGCGGAAAGTACATTTAATAACTGTAAGCTGTTAATTTCTTCAAGTATTTCAGTATATTTAACTCAATTTTTAAGTATATTATACAATATTAGCTACTGTTTTAATATTTGGGGGTTTTTTTTCATGTTTTTAATTGTGCTAACCACAGAAATGGGTTCTAATTATTCAGTCACCAGTAAAAAAATAAAAATATTTATATTATAATTGAATATGTGAATTGAATTATATTATAAAGAGGGTTTTTTAGTTTTTCTCTGAACTATCAGCCTCCAGCAACTGCCAGCAAATGATGAGTGATACCCCTCCTCGGGGTGCTATGTGAAGTCTGAGGTATGCCCTGGGCTCGCATCCACTTCCTTATCCCTTCCCACTTGCCTGTGACGCTCTCACAAGGCCTTTTCCCTCCTCAGCCGTTTCTAGTAAGTACTTAAGCATAACTCATATCTGACATATTGCTGAAAGCACCAGCCCATTTAAATCATAACCAAATAGATGAAATACAACCATAGCATTATTAAGTTGGGCCTGATAATGGTTCAGCACATTGAATAACCATTTTATATACGAATGGGATCTCATGTTCATTTCCTTATTGAGCAAATATTTATTGAGCCCTGACTATGTGTCGGGTACTGTTTTGGACACTGGGGATATGGCAGAGAACAAAATCATGTCATGCAGTCGTGGGCCAGCAGAGCAAACAAGAGTGGTGGCAGAACATCTAATAAG